TGTGCAGGTCAGGAAGGCCGTGTCGCAGTTCTCAGAAATATTTGAATTCGATGAACGCTAAAGTTATTTGGCGCTCCGATTTGGTTGTCGCTTGGCATAAGCCGCTGGTTCCTGGTAAAACATGGATTCTAGGAATTCCTGCTCTACTCGTAGCGCGACGGCATTGCCAGATCTCTTTTAGAGTGGCGTAGTCGTCGAGTGAGGCCCGGTCGCCCAAGAGAGAGAGAGAGAGAACCGGAGAGCAAGAAGTTGCAAGAAGATGAGCTCCTGGTATTTGAAGGGTGGTCAGTTTGAATTGGACTCTTGGCGCGATCGGGACTTACTGCGCAATCGAAATGGCAGACCATGAAAACACTCCTCCGTTATATATTTTCTTTACTTCAACCAGTTTGTCGATGGGCTGTGGCTGGTCGAAAATGCAAAGAAGAAAATGGAAATAGTCACCTGACAGACCAGCGAGTGTTTGAGCGCGTATTAGACAATGCGGCAGTCTACTTGTTACAGTGACATTTACATTCATATCTGAGAGTTTTTTTTCGGATCTGTGGGCCAGTACGTAGATCTACCGGTTGAAAAAACTCCAACTTATTTGCTGGGCTGATGATAGCTTTGAAAAGGGTTGTAAAAATAGCGATTTTTTAAATGTTGTTTTGGGATATCAATGAAATTTTTTATTCCTGTGAAAGTAAATTCGATGCCATTATGTATAAAACTCGATTTCTTTTACATGGCCACCACGGGTACGCTTGCTGAAGCCCAAACGCTGAATCCAATTTTTAACGGTTTTCAAGCATAAGTCGGACGATACTGCTGCAATTCCACGTACGATATTCGTACGAATGGAAACATTTTGTACTGTGCCTGAGGATTTACATTGGTCTTACAGGACGAACGACCACAAATTGGACGTTGCGCAATTAAAGCTGAGGCCATTGACTCCGAATTTCTGTATAAAATTTTAATAATTTTGACTAGTTTTTGGATCGTTTATATGTCCATGATGAAATGGCAAGCCTTACTGAAGAGAAATTTCAAAATAGCGGGAATATGGCGTCCCCATCGGTCTACTTTTGTAGAGTCCCTTTTGAAAAACCCGTTAAAACTGGCGACCATTAGGGTTAACGAGACGAAGCAGTCCTAGAGAGATATAGCTAGTTATGTTAATACGTAAGGAAGTAGACTGCAGGTAGTTGGTAGCACACGTTTAGATGTAACCGGTAAGATTGAAGTAGTTTTAGTTGGTTAAGTGTGTTTCCGAGGGAAGCATGATTTTGATGTAATAATTATTTAGAAGATGTAGAAGTTCAAGTTTGGTTCTGGAAAACGCCATTAGGGTTCCAAAAGCATACTTTATGGGAGTCAGTTCAATGACATTGATTTATCATTAGTTCCCAAAAGAAGTGCCACATTTGATGGGTTTTATGACCAGCATTAGGTCCACTTTTATGATATAAGTTAATTTCGTTCTTTTGCTTTTAAATTAATTTTTTTTTTAAATTAAGCTTCCGAACACGTTAGCTCCTATGAATTTTTGTATTTAAATCGAGTAAAAATTTTCAAAACAATCGGTTTCTTAGTTTTGGTGCTAGGATGTTCAGCGGCTTTATAAATATCAATCGTGGGAAAATCGATTTACAGTTTATTTTATTCTAAAACAAAAAATAAAAACGAGCTGGTCGAATCGTTTACATTGTCAGTTTTGCACCATCTTACTTAAAAAAACGATCTTTAAATTGTATAGATGATAAAATTTAATAAATGGAAAAAAAAAAAATGAACAACTATTTGTTTTCTTAAGTTTTTCGGGGTATAAAAATTTAAGTTTTTAGTAAACATTATGTTATACATTGATTTTAAAAATAAATAAAAACGATGTCTATTAATAGACTAAATATAAATGATTATATTGTAGGGCTGTTGAAGATTATAATCATGAATGCAGATCATTTTTAGCTGCATTTAAAGCATCCGCATTATGTACAAACTGGCGACAGTTGTACAGCTAAAAAGATAACGGGAGGACACAAATCTCGTTGGCATACGTAAATCCAATGTATCAGCCTTGCCAATTAGTTTAAGAAACAATTTACTCTTGTAGCCGTCTGAAATTTTTGTTCTAATGTCGATTTCACCCAGAAAGCAAGGTTCAAGTGCTGGATTGCAATTTTTTCGAAAACATAAAATAAGCTTACCCAATTTATCACAAGCCCTAGCGAATTGACGTGACAACCATACCCATGGTCCTGTAATCCAATATTTAGTTTTTGGTTAGATCGTATCAGGACGGTGGAAGTCGTCAAAGGCACGGTCCCAATAGGCGATCTTTATAGTGAGCACAGTAGTGAGCGCTAGTACATGTTCTGTGTAGCATAGTGTACACCGATTGTCAGAGCATTTATATTTTATAGGCAATACGCGCATACACCAGAAAGTCATTTAAAATAGGCAATATAGGCGGCATATATTATATTTGGAACTGCGTTCGAAAAGCGGCGCTAAACAGTATTGCTTTAAGACTTTATGTCACGTTGTAATGAACAAATATCTAAAATTCGATGTTTTGGTTGGCCAAGAAATTTTAAGCCAAGGTCTTAGTGTAGCAATAGACGCTGTAAGGCTTAGTATTCACATAACAGATTCCGGTGGCGACCTTATTAACTCCGACAATATGGATTGGTTTATAGCAGGAATACCAAAGTCTCGTGTTTCAACAGGGAATTTGGAAATTACGTTAATAGATCCACAAAAGATAGTATACAGCACCGGGCCTATAGACTTATCGAAGATGAAAAAGAGAATGTACGTTATAAGATCAATGAACTTCTAAAATCTTACCTTATTCGTCCCAGTTGCTCACCTTTCGGGAGTCCTATGATGCTCGTTAAAAAGAAAAATGGGAGTGATCGTCTTTGTGTGGATTACCGTGCTTTTAATGAAAACACTGTTGCAGACAAGTACCCATAACCTCTAATTTCTGATCAGATTGCAAGGTTTCTGATCAGATTGTCAAGCTATTTCGAATGTCTCGATATGGCTTGCGGTTTCCACCAAATACCGGTACATCCAGATTGAATTTAGCGCACCGCTTTTGTCACCCCCGAAGGTCCATATGAATTTTTGACTATGCCTTTTGATTTAAAAAACGCTCCGTCTGTGTTTCAGCGCGTTATAATTAATACATTGGGTAATTTTGTGTTCCTTTCTTAAGACTAGGATCGAATATCTGGGGTTTGAAGTTAGCAATGGATAAATTCGCCCAAATCCTTAAAAAATTGAAGGGCTCACAGAATTGCTACCTTCAAAAACGGTAACGCAATTGAGACAATTTATAGGGCTAGCTTCTTACTTTCGGCAGTTTGTACCAAAATTTTCAAAAACATTAAAAGCATTGTATTTGCTTATTTCAAAGAAAAACTGTGATATCGTCTGGCTGTTAGAACATGAAAGGAACCGTTGCCAATCATACTTAACCCTCAACATTCGATAGAACTGCACACAGATGCCAGCTCAATTGGGTATGGGGCAATATTGCTTCATGGAGTGGACAAGAAGCCCTATGTTGTAGAATATTTTAGTAAATGAACGCCACGTACTGAATCCAGGGCCAGCAGGCCCGAGTTTTGGCCAAAAGTCCGTTTTTTTTTTGTGAAAATTAATAAATAAAGTATGGGGCTATTTTTATACTTAAAGCTAATTTATGCCAACATTTCGGAGAATTTCACTGAATGAATTTTTTTTGGCATATTTTTCACGCAAAATTAAGTTAAAAAAAAATCTAGTGAAAAGAGATGAATACTTTGCTGATCGAATTTCTTGTGAAGTCATTGAAATTGATTAAAATGTTTATAAAATATCGACAAAAGCTTTAAAAACTCGAGCTTTATTTCGTAATGGGATACTTTTCTTTAGAATTAATTTCGGGTACCCTCAGGAAATGAAGTGATTCCTTTAAAAATGGGTTATTTGATCAATAAACTACCAAAATCACCCGCTGATTTCGCGCGGTTTTGCTTTAGTTTTCGAGAAGTATGAATTTAATTTGAAGAAGTGGCAGTTTTGAATGTTTTATGCATGCTGCATATGCTCAAATACATACGAAAAACATTTACTAATGCATACACTGAAGAGCCGTTTGGTGTCATCATAAAGCATTTTAAATATTTAAAAAATACATAATTGTTTTTTAAACTTTTGATGCTGCAGATGCAAGGAAGGAACAAACAAAAAAAAATTTAAATTGTTGTTGGGACGATTATTTTACTAATATTGACAGCTAGGGCACCAAAAGATGGCATTACCATAGAAATATGACTTGTTATGGAGTGGTCGGTAGTGACCGCACCATAGCAGAAGGACATGTTATGGTGGGGGTCGGTAACTCGGTGTAAATGGAAATACACCAGTTGATAAAGCTTATTAGCTTAGTGTCAATTGTTAAGTATGGTTAAGAAGAAAATGTTATGAAAAGAATGTATGATATGTTATTAAGAAATGAACTTGCTTATTTTGGTTTTAATGCCTTAAACTATGTAAAGAAAATTAAATAAAAACACTAAACACTTAAACAATTAAAATCAATAAGAACTGACTTATGAGAATATGGCGATTTATAGTCAACACACGAGGACGCGTGACTGGTCAGGAAGGCCGTGTCGGAGCGCTAGTACAGTTCATTGTAATATAGTGTACAGCGATTGTCAAAAATGTATATTTTGTAGGCAAGTGTATGCCCCAGAACGTCATTTAAAACAGGCGAACTGCGTGTTGCAAATGCGCAGTTCACAGGAAAAAGCCTAGAAGCGGGAATTGAGAGACTCCTACTGAGTGAGGTCTGGTCGTATGCCGCGAACTGACTGAGAATAGAGGAAGGAGAAAAAAGAAATGGACAAATTGAGTTCTTTGTCCTCTAGGTGTCAGTTCAAAAAGCGGCGTTGATACGAGCAGAACTTATATATATATATATATATATATTTAAGCTTAATTTATATTGGTAAACATACCACCAGTCTTATGTTTAGTCCGACATTTAGACTTTCTCAAAGCCAATCCTTTTCCATCATCCCTTATCCGACGTCTTTGATAAATTACATCTCGATACCACTGTACCAAATAAAAGTGCCGAGCATAGTCCCAGATTAAATTTTCTTCTTGAGCATTTACAGCTAGGAAATCCAGAAGTATTTTTTGTAGAAACTCGATTCGCTGCTCCTCGGGTTGTAGTTCAAATTGAGCCTGTAAAATATTCTTATTAAGTTTTTTTTAAAGCAGTTTAAACAAACGTGTTACATACATTATTTTCAGTTAAATCACCCTCCTTTTCTTGTTCTACTTTTATTGATTTTATCATTGAATCAATTATGTTAACCTTACACCGAGATTCAACAGTATCCTTACGCAATCGAGCAGCTACAATGCCCAGGTAATCCAATGAAACTAAGCGAATGCTCTGTTCTATGCCCTTGTCAGACACATAGCGAACCAGCATAGTTCCCAACAGCGAAAGTAACAATTCAGATGCAGGCCATTCGGGTCTGTTAACGGTAGCCAGTAAATCATGAATAAAATTTTCAAAAAGTGGTCGGAAATCAATTTCATTAGACCGTGATTTGCATTTATTTAAAAACGTTGTTAAAAAGTTTCCACCTATACTGACAGCGACATCATACTTTTGTAAAACAATTATATCCTGATCTGGCTGAACAGTTTTTGTAGCTCCGCTTGGGAGGTTTTCGTCATCTGCAACATTCAATTGGGTCTTAGTACCTAGTTTTCCGGTATCACAAAGTGAATCTGGCAAAACAGTTGCGCATTGAATTAGTTGTAGAACAAGTGCTGTAACCATTTGAATAGTTCCTCCATTATTTGTTAGTTTATATGGACGTAGGTTTTTTTTTGATGAAGGTAAGCGGTCGATCGATGTCAAAATGTCTCCCAGAATGCTGTTCCTGATTTTATCGTACCTTTCCTTGCGAAAAATCTAAAGTAAATAAAGCAGATAACATAAACATGAATTGATAATTATAATCTAAAGTAAATAAATCGGGTAACATAAATATGTATTCAAAATATGAAGAGTTTAAATGATCACAACATCCAGACTTAATGTGACTACATTTTCGGGACAGATGGTTAAAAAGAAATTCTGATTAAATACTAATTTGTTTTGTGTTAAACAAACATATACTTATTTTACATATTTAACACAGCCTATATGTTGGGATTTTTTTTACATATCCATGTGTAAGTTTCCACAGACATGTCTAGATCAACTTTCACGGTGATGCCGATACAGAACACAACAACACATAAAAAAATATTTTTTTTATACCCTTGGTAAGTTAATTTCCCTCAAAAGACTGTAAGACAATGGAGGACGCATCGCGTTCCCAGACTATTAAATACCCGTTACTCAGCTAACAAACTTCACACAATCCGAGTTTATAATGCTCAAAAGTTGCAAAAGTGCAGCGGACGTGTTTTGCGCGAGCTTCGGTAAAAGTTGTAGAAAGTGAATGTTTGTAAAGACAAATGAAAAAATACACAAACAAAAAAATTTAGAAAATAAGCGAAAATACGCTAAAACAGAGGTAAATAGTTATTCAACAAAAAAAAACAAAGATATGATTAGTGCCACGCTAAAAAAAAAACTCAATGAGCGACGCAGCAAATAAAGAGCGTCGAAGCTCAGCGATCCGAAGAGACGGGTACTTCTCGTATATATCAACTCGCGATACCGAAGTGCAAGAAACGGCTACCAAGGGTATCTCGGCCCTACTGACGGTCTTGAGTTCTCAGTGTTAAAAAGCTCGAACGCCCTGGTCAACAAAATTGTTGCGCTGGTCGGGTATGGAAATTTTCATGTTGTTCCGCTTACTAAAGGGAATATTCACGAAACCAAACTTCAGACAAAATCTGAAGAACATTTCCTAGTTGTGTCCAAACTGCCCTGCCAACAAGGAAGACCCCCAAAATAAGAAATATTGAGACTGCGGAGGAAATCACACAGAGGCTTGTGGTCTACAAGGAGTTGAAAAACCGCATGCGACGATTGACAACCACGCGCCGTCAAATGCTTAAAACTTGTACGCTTACTCAAATACGACCCGGAAGTTTTTTTTCGGCACGGCTGCAAGATTCTCATTTGGTCAGCTTAATACCCAGAAAGGCTTCTCATACGCCAATGCCCTTCGATCAGGAACGGAAAACCCACTCCAGTCTAATCTAGGAAACCTTCAGCAGGTCCCAGGACAGTCACAAAGCACACTGGAATCAATGATGGTTACCATGCAACAAAGTATGATGGAATTTATGTCCTATATGAAAACGACCATGGAAACAATATGTCAAAACCAGAACATAGTTTTACAGTTGCTTGCAGCTAAACAGTGCAAATAATTAATGGCAAACCTACGATAATAAGGCCCATGGCGGAACCGGCATTCTAATTAGGGAACACATAGCACCATGTTCACCAAAGGTTTGCAACAAACTACTTGCAGACCACGTTTACCATAGTGCAGTCAGGTAACGGAAACCTTTCTACAGCCGCCGTATACTGCCGCCTCGCTTTACAATTTCTGAAGGACAATTCATGGTTTTCAACAACTTACTTGGAGATCGCTTCATAGCTGCAGGAGACTATTATGCTAAACATACTCACTGGGGATCACGACTCGTGACTCCCAAAGGAAGGAAATTGTATAATGCAATCATCAAACTGAGCATGACTATGCTTCCCCTGGTAGCCTCACATATTGACCAGCAGACCCAGGAAAAGTCCCTGATTTTGAGGTGACAAAAAACATTCCACGTAATATAATAAGCGCCAAAGCGCTTTCGGACCTCTCATCTGACCATTCGCCAGTAATTATAACTCTTCTTCAAAGCTCAGAAACCACAGACCACCCCCACAGGCTGACATCGCACAGAACCAACTGGCTAAAATATAAAAAGTATGTAAGTTCTCACATTGAACTAACCCCGCAGCTCAACATCGAAGCGGACATCGACTGTTCTACCGAAGTTCTTGAAGATATACTTGTGGCAGCTGCCTCTATTTTAACACGAAAAGGGAAAGACGTGCAAAACAACCATTTCAAAACAATTCTACAAATTGAACAGCTTGTACTGGAAAAGAGGCGCCTGCGACGTGCTTAGCAAACCAACAGATCGCTATCCTCAAAACGTCTCTAGGAAGCCACACGCACACTAAACCGAGCCCAGAAGAAAGACGCTGAAAACGCACAACTACGGTACACCGAAAAACTTTCGCCAACAAATACAAAATATCCTCTGTTGAGGGGTCACCCAAACCTAAGTTCTCCAATCGAAACAGTCACTCCGACAAGATATTCATCAGAAAGCTGGGCCCGCAGCGACGAAGATAGAGCCGAAACTTTTGCTTCAGATCTCCGAAAAGTCTTCCAGCCGAACTCAGCCAGTGGTCCATTTGTGTTACCACAAACCGAATCTGAAACTAATTCCATACCAACACAGTTTCAGCAAAAGGAGATCGCGAAAGTCATACGGGAACTGAAACCGAAAAAGGCCCGGGGCGGTGAACTGAATCGATGGTATTTTTGGTAATCACGTCATTTATGTCCTCACGACCACTTTGAAAACGTTGGAACCACTCGTGCAGTCTGCTACGGGATAGGCATTCATCGCCATAAACTTGTTTTATCAATTGAAACGTTTCAGTTAAAGTTTTACCAATTTAAAAAAAATTTAATGTTGGCTCTTTGAAGCTCATTTTCGCAACGATCACAAAAACATACTGACACTTAAAACGCAATAACCTCACTTCCAATAGATGAAATGTCATTTTTACTGGAAGTCGATAAACGATAACAGATTCTAACGCACCAGTTGACATATAGATGGCGCCACTAGAGGGCGCTAGATTCAAAAAGTCCTGTTTACTTTGGAACTCACCTTGTATATACTTTATAGGGGCGGAAACGCTTCCATTTACACCTTTACCAATATACGCCTTTACACCACGAATAATGGGTATAAAAATGATAACTACGATTTTTTTAAACTTCAACGAACAATGGAACCCAAGCTACAGAGGAGTTATCAGAGAAACCCTTCAAGAAGAAGTTTTCTCCCCTCCACTATTTGTTCAACTAATCTACCAACTGCTGGTAAGCCCAAATAAAACAAATCTGGTACCATTCAACAGGAAACATAAAGTAGCATAGCTTATAGGTATTCTCCTCTTCGATTGTATACTGGCTAAGCTTTTGTAAGACCAAAACCTCTGCATTGGATCATAATTTGATGGAACTCCCTGGAAAAGAAGAACAACATAAATGAGCTACACAAAATTCGCCACCCCCACAGATGACCGGAACACCATCTTAAAGCCCCTGGACATGTTTGTTGAGGGCTCGATGCGTAAACCGCATTGGAAGCAAATAGTTTTTTTTAAAGCAAATGGCGTTTCTTTGAATCGGAAACTTTATTGGTCGGATAGGAAATCGGCAGGATTTTGAAAGCCAGGGCTTTGAAATGGGCTATGGAGCAGAGATTAAACGATAACACAAGCTACAGTAAAGGATTACAACTTTTAGAAATGTGCCAGTCTTAAATGGGCGAAATTCTGGAGACGCGAAAGGAAAAATAACCTTTGTAAGAGTGCAATAAAGTTAAGTTATAGAGGTTGTTGGCATAACCTAATCATAAAATTTAACATGCCTTAGGATATTCGAATCGAAACTGTCTTTTCAAAGTCGGTTGTCAAAATTTCTTGCGAACTACTCAACCGATCGTATTGAAATCATGCACAGGTATTCAAGATAAAATTAACAAGGTCTGGAACAAACGAATATTTTTTTTCAATAACAATTAAAAAAAATAAAAACGTCGACAACATTTTCACCAATACTAGCATTTCTGTAAAAATATTTGTCAAAATACAATTTTGACTTTGTTTCTTAGTTTAATACCTAGTTCATGGTCTTAGCTAAAACATGCATTTTTTATATTTACTTCTGATGATCCTGCAAAAAGTTCTGCTGCCAACGCAGAGACACCTTTCTTCCAAAGGACTGCTGTAAATTACGCCGAAATAGCCGAGTTTTGGACAAAAAAATATTGAAAATGGGCTGTTTTGTGTACGAGGAAGCCCGTTTAACCCCTTAATGGGCTATACCAGTCTCACTTTTTTTTTTTTTTTAAATCCACTTTTTTCGCCTAATTGATAGTTTACAATTTTATAAATATTCTGTGAAAGCGGAAAGGTCGTAGATTTTGAATGGCGGCGTTCAGATGAGCGAACCCTCGCAGGCAGACTTTAACCGCGTTTAACAAGCTTTCCGATCGGTTTAAGACTAAGATTCAATTATCTTGAATGGGTCCTACCTAAAATGACCTACAGACTTTTGGATTGGTTGAAAAATGTCCATTTGGACAAATTTAAAAAATATAATTTATTACACCAAAAAACTTTTTTTTTTTGTTAATACTCGCTACTTTTTAAAGTTCATAGTTCATTGTAGGGGTAATTTTTTTAGTTCCTAATTGCATAAATTGCCTATTTTTTATGTGTTACAGTGGTATAGCCCCTTAGCCAAATCAACAATTTGCAGATTACCAGAAGGCATATCAGCCTTAATGAACGCTGATAATATAATACTTAATGCTTAACAAACTCGCAATGTTGTGTGCTCTATAGTCTGCAGGCAAAACTTAAAAAAGTAAGATAATGACTGTAAGGGTTGCTAAAGGTCGCAGGTCTCAAAAACAAAAACAAGCTGAAGTTTATATACCCTCGCAGTTATTGTAAAACACCTACATTGTAAATGTATGTTTTAAAACATTGAAGCTACGATGATTTTCAGCTCAAATTTTCGATCGTTCCTATTTTCCGATTTTTTTATAAAATGTAAAGCGTAATTCTGAAATGCTAGATTATTAATAAGTCAAAAAGAATTTAAAAACAAGCAAAGAAGCAAACTTCGGCAAGCTGAT